CTGCAGTTTACGTTTACATTCCATTTATAACTGCAAACTGACTTCTACGCTTTTACGAACGAGTGTCTAAGTTCAAATCTTTCCGAATCTATGTTTTGACGTAAAACTGTGTTTAGACGCAAACTGCGCTTAGACGCAATCTGCGCTTAAGACGCAAACTGCGCTTAAACGCAAACTGCGCTTAGACGCAATCTGAGCTTCGACGCAATCTGCGCTTAGATGCAAACTGCGCTTAGACGCAATCTGAGCCTAAGACGCAAAATGCACTTAGATGCAAACTGCGCTTAGTCGCAATCTGCATTTAAACACAAACTACATTTAGACGCAAACTGTGTTTAGACGTAAACTGTACTCAATCATAAGTAATCTTAGAATCGGCTTTTGCATCGAAACAGTTCTTATCGAACAAACGCAGCTTTCAATTTTAATCGCTGAAAGATTTCCGCTGCACTAATTCACCCCCCCCTCTTAGTGCTCTCGATCCTAACAATTTCAATATGGCATATTGCTAGGGAGAGTTTAGTTTAAATTCCGTCATCAATTGGTTGTTATCATAAAAAAAGGGGAGATTGTTGAATCTCAGATTTTGATGATGAAATCAATTGATAAGTTTATGATCTAATATCCATTTTAAGTGATGCAGGACTAGCTTCTATCAGAAAAGACAAAAAGCAAAAGGAATCGGATGTTGGGCCGGAATGAAACACGTTAGGAGATTGGACGTCGAGCTGGAGGATCGGTCGACGTATCGGTAGAAGGATTTCGTGTCATGAGTTCGGGCATCGGGCCGAAGGATCGGACATTACACCAAGGAGATCAGATGTTGCGGAGGTCAACATGCTGATTAGGCAATACACCGAACAAGAGGATGATGCGCCGAAAGATCGGACGAAGCGCCAAATGAACTAATGACATGCCGGACAAAGGTTTCATGCTTTGTAATCATTTGTCTAGATTGAAATATTTTAGAGTCTAATTGAGTTAGTTCTGGGGTGTATCAATGCCAACTCAATTAGGGGCCAAGGGGGCCTAAGTTGGGATTGTTTTGGGCCAAAGGGAAAGCCCATTCGGTTACCTATAAAAGGGTTAAGCGGTGGTATCGCTATACTAGGCAGTGGTATCGCCTATACACGGTCTCCCAGACTGTGTCAGGCGATGGTATCACCCAGCGTCAATGTTAGACTAACAGGTGATGGTACTGCTAGTACCCCAAAGACCCGGGATGAGACCGTTTTGGCTCCAAATTTGAATCTATTTGGGGCCTATAAATATCCCTCTCATCCTTGCTCGGTTAACACGTAAACTGAGAACAAAAATAGGGTAAAACACTATTATAATCGTGTGAGAATTCCCCTCCTCTAGCTCTAAGTGTTGATTTCAGTTTAAGAGAGGGGTGAGTGGCTTATAAAAGTTATCTCCTAAATATATGAAAAGGAGAAAAGAGTTATAAGAGGGTAGTTGATCTTCGCCCATTGAAAGAAGATCAGTAGGAGAAGTCGGTGGCCTCGAGTGAAGAGAAATCGAGAGTGGATGTAGGTTACAACGATCGAACTACTATAAATCTGGTTTGCATCTATTTTATATTTTTCATTCATATTCCAAACTGATTTACTACACTTATAAACGTTTTTAAGTTAAACTCATCTTTCTAATACAGGCTTTATCGAATGAGTTTTCAAACCGTCGAAATTTTACGAAAGTACTAATTCAACCCCCCTCTCTTAGTGCTGAAACGATCCTAACAATCACTAACAAGTTGACTTATGTAAACTGTAAGGTAACTGAACTTCTGCAAAGTGTAAACTGTGCAATACCTATAGGCATTTCTTTTTCCTGTATTTTATTTCTGTTTCTCCTCATCGAGTAGATGTATTCATGTGACAACTTACTGCATACGTAAAATATCTCTAATCTAAACAAATTTATTTTATTATTAAATTAACTAAATTGTTCCTACATAATTTTTTTTTTGCTGTTTCTTTTTCATTTCTGTTATCAAGCGGGCATGCACATGTGGAGATTTGTGCAATCGGATGAGTTGTCCCTTGAAAGTCGGAGAGGATTGAATTTTATTGGCCTATATGCATGCTTAGCAATTCATGTGCAGAGTATAGTTTCATCAAAACTAAAATTTTAATCTCATTCTTCCTTAAATTAGTGACTAAGGAAGACACTTTGTGACTTTATTGTGGATATATTAGATGACCTTTTGGTCTCTTTGGCATTTTTGTAGCCTTACATGATGCCTTTCATGGAAGTTGTACGATATACTGGCTGTAGTTGTTTTGACCAAATACAAAGATTAATATGCTAATGAGTTAGTTTTGGTTGCAGAGCATGCTTCTGATGATTCTTGGTGTGATGATGGGCTTCTGAATGAAATCTCAGATGCTGACTTACACAGAGAACAGAAGAGGCGTTATGATCAATTTTATACAGTATCCTTGCAATCTATAAATGATATGTAAATTCCTTGTCCAAAACTCTTCATGGTAAAACTTTTAGGGCTTTAAATTTGAAGATGTATTACATGGATCCCTTGACAAAAAGTTTATATGGGTTATAGAGATGGTACATCTGCAGGAAACGAAGCTTCCGCACAAGAGGGCTTCAACATTGGCTTTAAGCAATCTGCAAGCAGTGGTTACAAATGGGGAATTGTTAGTGGCATCATTGTTGGGCTGATGGGGTTGAATATGGGCTTTATCAACCCATAGCCCATACCCTCTTTTAACCTAACCCTAATTAAGATTAGAGAGTATGGTGGCTGCGTTTTAGAGGCAGATTAAAGCTATAAAAAGGCAGCCACGAGATTCCAAAGAGAAGAAGGAGAACAAGAAAGAAAGGGAAGAAGACAAGGACAACGCAGAGAGATTGTTCTCAATCATCTAGTAGTGTTCTCATCTCAGGTTAGATCAAATCTACAGTAGGCTCTTGATTACTTGGGAGTTTTAGATATTGGCAGATCTTGGTAGATCTTGGTAGCCACGAGATTCCAAAGAGAAGAAGGAGAACAAGGCAGAAAAGGAAGAGAAAGAAAGGGAAAAAGACAAGGACAACGCAGAGAGATTGTTCTCAATCATCTAGTAGTGTTCTCATCTCAGGTTAGATCAAATCTATATTAGGCTCTTGATTACTTGGGAGTTTTAGATATTGTGGGCAGTGACGTGATCCTTGTATCCCAGTTATTCTCTTGTGATTGTTGCTAGAGTTTTGGGCAAGAGATTGAGATTTGTACATTCATTATTCTCATAGTGGATTATCTCTAGTTTGCCCGTGGTTTTTACCCTTCATATTGAAGGGGTTTTCCACGTATATCTTGCGTTTGATTGTGTTTCTATTTTATTCCGCTGCGTATTTTGGTCTTCTAGTATTTGTTCCTATACAAAGGTTATTCCTGTTTATATCCCCATCAATCACAAGGTGAAAAGTGACAGTATTTACTGATCATAAGAATTTTGGTATCTTATTTTTCCTACATTATTTTGCAGTGCATTTGTCAGCCTCCCAGATCAATTCAAAGAGAAGTTAGTAAAGGAGCTGGAAGACAGAGGCAGGTTTCAAAGTCTTTACAAGCCCGTTCAAAAGATTTCCACCGACGATGCTCTGGTAATTATGTATCATTTTCAACCGCTACAAGAAAATACACAATCTCGTCGAAGATGAGAAGGAAAATTTCAAGCGACAATATCATCGGCAGGTGAAGATTTTGACTGCAATAAGCTAGACGTCTTTTTCAAGGAGCTTATGTTACTTGTGAGTCTTCTGAAATCAAAGCAAGTGTTGATGTCGTAGAAGGAGAGGAAGAAGAATGACCTTGGTGTTGAAGTACAAGATGGGATCATCGTTCAAGTTCACTTACATCTGAAATTTCTGGACAGATTGTTTATAATTTTTTGATGGCCTAAAATCGCAATGAAAAGAACTAAACCATTGCTCCATTCCAGCATAATAATATATTTGGGATTTTGCTTAAGAAAAATAGGTTCAAAATTCCAGAAAGTAACGACTATTCTTCAACCGGAACTGTGCTGTCATTTTTGGGAACTTGAAGAAGACACTCATGGTTTGAAATGGAACTATTTGTGTACAATTTCGTTTGATAATAATCTCCTTCCGAGATCCAATAATTTTTTCATTGCGGTTGATGTTTGAGTATAGCCTTTCTTTTTCCTCCTAATTTTGCACGCTGTAAATAGAAGCATAAGATGCTTCTCCAACAGTAATAATGAAAGAATCTGATAGAGGTTAGTCAAATAAAGCTCCAAATCGAAAAGAATGAGATACTGTTTTCGAACTAATCACGAGCAACTCTAACGATCGTGTCTTGCACTGGGAGTTGTTGGCCCTTTATCTAAATCAGCCAGGGAGGATGAATAATGTCTTCGCAAACATGATCGGGTAGAGTTCGATCGAATCCTAATCCACCAGACTCGAAACGAGATTGAGTCAACTTGGCCACAGCCACACCCTCTCGTGGCGGGCCGCGTACACATACGTTTACGGACGGAAGTCCGTAGTTTCGTGTTGGATCGTCTTTTGCTCCCTTATTCAGCGGATGTCAAGATTCTTATCCAACCCAAAAGCGCTCATTCCGAGGATTACTGCGGCAAGGAGAGAGAAAGGGGGGGTGGGGGATGAGATCTCTTTTAATCTCTTGGGAACCATCATAATTAGATGCAAACGCATGGGGACGTTGAAGTTTGACAACTCTCAATGACGGCGCTAATAACAGCCATAATAATTAGCCGCAGAATCAAACACAGTCCTTACGTGGTTGATTCCATTAATCCTTCCGCGTATGTATCTGTACATAGCATCTATATATATTCTCTAGTCTGTCACACGAACAGCCATCCCAAGATCGACCTTCGATGGCTACTCACAGTCTCCTATCATATCTACCTTCCCAATTTTACTCCCTTTTGTTGCTGTAATCTTCTCATCACCCGCGTAAGCCAGCGCGCAAAGCTCCCTTTCTTCTTCAGCATGGATTTCGACTGTATCAACGGTCTCCTGTTCCCGGAGGAAAGGCTCTTCTCGGAGTGGCCTCACTTTGGAGATGTCCTCGGGTCTGCGACTACCCAAAACACCTGACTTGTGACACTCGGATTTTTTTTCTTCTTCTTATATTTATGTTTGGTTCTGATGCAGTGAGACAGATCTGAAGCCTCTGCCGGAGAGTCTCGCCCGGTTGGATGACACCATGGGCTTTTCCGCACCCTCCCTATTTTGTGATACTTGTTCGGCTACGGTTCCCTGCCAATGCAATGCGTGTTCAGAGTCACTCGAGAAAATGGAGTCGGATGATATCGATCTCGACTCCTTTGCGTGGTCCTGCAACCTTTCGTCCGACGCCGTAGACGTTCGGCTTGATCCGCTACCTCTCCCCGCTTGCGACCTCCCGTTTGGACCCTTCGAAACCAGTGGGGAGGGAGGCGATGTTCCCATCTGGGACGGAAGGAAGACGAGCGAGAAGAGAGGTTGTGGGCGGGCGTCGAGGCTGAACGGCTTAGGCTTCGACGAGATCAAGAACTACTTCTACATGCCGATCACGAAGGCGGCCAAGGAGATGAACGTAGGGCTGACGGTCCTGAAGAAAAGATGTAGGGAGCTCGGGATTGCCAGATGGCCTCATAGGAAGATGAAGAGCTTGAAGTCCCTCGTCCGTAACGTTCAGGTGCATGCATGGACGTTCTTCTCTCTGTCTCGTGATTAGCACAGCCATCTGAATGGTTTGCAAAGGCAACATTTCTTTCTGGGGGGTAATTAATGCATTGTGGTGATGTAGGCGATGGGGAAGGGTACATTCGAGGAGGATGGCGTAAGGAAAGAGTTGGAGACTTTGGAGGAGCACAGGAGGCTGATGGAGGAGAATCCAGAGATTCAATTGACCGAGAGAACCAAGAAACTGAGGCAGGCTTGCTTCAAGGCCAATTACAAGAGGCGGAGATTGTTGCATCACCCCTGCTTTTAGCTTAATATCATGCATCGACAGCGATCACATCTTTGGGTCATCCTTTTCTTAATGTCCTTTCGTCGTTTTTGGTTTTGGCGAAGGTTGTCCTCAGACGGATTACCGAGTTAGCATACCGAATTGTACATTTTTGGCTACATACTAGACGTGATCGGAGAATCCCTCTTAATTGCATCGTCCATCACAACTCACATCTTCTTCGATTACCTATTTGCGATTCTTGATTGATTTTTTTTTTTTTTTTGAATTGGAAGAAGATAAAGAAAGATATTGCCATGTTGTACTATTATTATCAGAATGCGTGACACAAATGGTGTTTCTTCTAATCTGATTACTGCGACGCACTGGTACGAAGTCGAAGATGACCGCCGACGGCTGGCTTCCTCCCACGAATGGTGTTGCACGTCGTCGATCGTTCTTGAGAACTTAAGCTCTGCGGTCCCTTCGCCATGGCAGCGGCACCACCAGCTTCAGGCTGCCATAAATGCTTGCCTAGAGTCAATGAAAAGGGGTCACGTGAAAGTAATGATCTCACGACTATATAAGATGATCTACGGAATAATAGGGGACTGTCGGAGAAACCACGCGGTGGGCTCACCGATGTCTCATTCCTAGAACAGTGGAAAAGATCAAGCCACTACGAATAAGCAAACAAATGGACAAGATGGAGGAAAGATTGGTTGGATATGGCTGCAAGCATGTCGAACATGGAACTGTGACCACAGACTGGAGACTCACCCATATGTGAGAGGTGGAAACGTTTGCGAGGCTTCTGTTCCTCCTCAGCCGTGTGATCCTTATCCTTCCCTCCTCCACATTCCCATCCTCCTCGGACTCTCCACCATGTTTTTTGCGAGAAGGAGAAGAAGACATGGAAGGGCAAGTGACATCCTTCTCTTCCAACCCCTCCACGCTCATCTCCCAGGTTCCATCCCTCATCATCTTCCTCCCACTTTTTCTCCCCCGAAACCAAACCACTCCCTTCTTCTTACCTCCTACGGTAACAACAGTCCTTCCCTCTCCGAACGAAAAGGAGTAGCACGAGCCGAGTGGGACGGGACGGGTCGCATGCTCTGGGCCGTCGAGAGCCGTGGTGGGCGAAAGCGTTTTATTGGACTTGGCCTCTACCATCGCCGCCACCATTCTCGGGGGCAGGTCTAAACTCCGGGCGCCGCCGGGCATCATGCCATGCCCACCCGGAGTCGGCTGCTTCCTGGGCTTCCCCGGAGCTTCTTCCCACATGAAGGGCACGGATACCAGAACCCGGGGCGGCGGCGTCGCCGTGCCAAGTGGATTCATCCGCTTGCCGGGGACCGAGTACAGGGAGAGCTTGGGAGGAGTGGTACAGCTCGAATCCATGGCGGATCTGATCTCAACTTTCCCCCATGCCATGGATGATGCAAACTATGAAAGGCTATTAATACGGCGAGGCTGGCGGAGAGCGGGGACGAGAGAGGCTACGTAATATGAACGCTCCTCCTCACACCTCTCCATTTGCTACCGCTGCTGCGTCACGAGAAGAGCCGCGCCATGCAACCTTTCAGTTAAATTCCGCGTGCTCTTATGAATAACGGAACTATGGGCGAAGTCTTCCAAAAGTAACGTAACGCTTTTTGCCCACGTCGAACAAATCGTGCACGCCATTTCATCGAAGAGAGATCACGCAGTAATGTGATCCCGTTTCGGTATAAAATAGGTTTCTTTAGTAATAGAGTATATATTTTCGATTAATCATTGATATGTGACTGTTATGTGATGCCGAAGGAGAAAATAATTTTTTTTTTAATTTATGACTAGAAAAATAATCATAAAATTTTTTTAACTAAAAAGATAATCACAAGCTTCTTTATTGTCCTTTACGATCAAATATAAAATCTCATCTTTAATATAAAGGATAAATTTTATTTTTTCGATTACTTGCGTTTGCACTTATACATCTCGAGTTACTAACTTAAGCACTGGAGAGACCAAGTTGAAAAATCTCTCCTGACCTTAGTCTTATTACAAGTGGCACCTTAGGTGCTTCGCATTTCCACCTCGAAAGAATCTCGGATAATCCTACGCATACGGGCTCGGACCACATCGGGTTGACTAAGATGTCAATGATATTTTCTCCTAACATTTTTATGTTAGAAGAAGGGTCCGATGTTGTAAGAATGTTTGCCTACCAACCCTCTCAACGAATTATCGAACGAGTATGCTCTGCCCCTGACTCATAGTACTTTCGCTTGGGGGGTGGCAACCGACTATTCCACATATGGATGCATCTATCTCGATAAAATATCGGCATGATATTAGTGTCTGTTCAACGACATGAGAGCAACCTTAAGTCACCTGCTCGTCCCTATTGAGGCGTTCCTAAACCTGATCCAATAGGTGCAGACACTAATGGGCATGATGCAAAGCTGTTCCTCCACTCTTGCCCTAACTATTAGGAAAAGAGTCAGTACTAAGGGGGGAGGGGGGGTGTGAATTAGTGCAGCGGATAAAAACGTCAGTTTCAAAAAATCCTTTCATACGATAAAACCGAACTCGGAAATACTTAACTTTGAAAGCTAAGAGTGTATTGAAGGCAGTTTGCAGTTAATGTAAATTGTAAGAAGTAAATGCAAACCAGAGAACATGCCAATTTTATAGTGGTTCGGTCATCGTGACCTACATCTACACCGCCGATTCCTCTTCCGTCGAG